CAATGTATACAGAGAGGTGTGTGTGTGTATAATATATATCTATAGAGAGAGAGAGAGAGAGAGAATATAAAGTGCATTCAGAAAGTATTCAGACCCCCTTCACTTTGTTATGTTGCAGCCTGACACTACAGTTGTTTAAATTCTTTTTTCCCCTCGTTATCTAGACTCCGTACCGCAAAATGACAAAGTGAAAACAGAATTTTAGAAATCTCTGTGAATTTATTAAAAAGGAAAAACTGAAATATCACATTTGGCATAAGTATTCACACCCTTTGCAAACACATTTGAAAGTTAGCTCAGGTGCCTCCCATTTCTCTTGGATGGTTGCTGACATGTTTCTACACCTGGATTGGAGTCCACCTGTGGTCAGGGCAGCCATCTGGGGGGTACGGCAGATACTCATGTAAGGGGCCCGGGCAGCCTGGGGGCCCGTCCGAGTCCCTTACATGACTATCGGCCGACGGTGAAGGGCGAGGAGGCGGAGGCCTGGCCCTAGCAGCGCAGGGCCCCAGCATTGCCGCTCCAGTGGCTTTGAGACAAGCTATTGCCCCCATCAGCGACGCTGCTCGTCTGATGTCGGACTGGAAGGAAGTGACGTCACTTCTGGCTGGTCCAGCGGCAGACGAGGCCATGTGTGCAGGTAAGAGGAGCTAGGAAGGAAGGAAGGAAATAAGGGAGGGATGCAGCCCTGACCAGCCAACCTGAGACCCCTTCAGAGCCCACCATAGACAGTCTCAGATGGGCTGTGCAGCATCTATGGTGGGCTCTGCAGGGTCACTCTCAGGTGGGTCCTCTGTCCAGCGCGTCACTAAGCCCTGCATCCAGCGGCGTGGGGGGGGGGCCAGGCCTAAAGCCGTGTAAGGGGCCCTAAAATTTCTGATGGCGGCCCTGCCTGTGGTACATGACATTGATTGGACCTGATTTGGGAAGGTGCACACCTCTCTATAGAAGGCCTCACAGCTGACAATGCATACTGTATCCATGTGGTCAGAGGAACTGCCTGCAGAGCTCAGAGACAAGATTAGTGCCAGGCACAGATCTAAGGGAGGCTACAAAAACATTTCTGCTGCACTGAAGGTTCCCAAGAGCACAGTGGCCTCCATAATTCTCACTTGGAAGAAGTTTGGCACAACCAGGACTCTTCCAAGAGCTGGTCACCCGGCCAAACTGAGCAATCGGGGGAGAAGGGTCTTAGTAAGAGAGGTGACCAAGAACCCGATGGTCACTCTGACTGAGCTCCAGAGATCCTGTGTGGAGATGGGACAAAGTTCCAGATGGACGACCATCTCTACAGCCCTCCACTGATCTGGCTTTTATGGCAGAGTGGCTAGACGGAAGCCTCTCCTCAGGGCAAAACACATGAAAGCCCGCTTGGAGTTTGCAAAAAAACACCAGAAGGACTCTCAGATTGTGAGGAACAAGATTCTCTGGTCTGATGAAACCAAGATTGAACTGTTTGGCCTCAATTTTAAATGTTGCGTCTGGAGGAAACCAGGCACCGCTCATCACCTGCCCTATACCATCCCAACAGCAGCAGGGACTGGGAGACTGGTCAGGATTGAGGGAAAGCGGAATGGAGCAAAGTACAGAGATATCCTCAAAGAAAACCTGTTCCACAGCGCTCAGGACCTCAGACTGGGCCGAAGGTTCACCTTCCAACATGACAACAATCCTAAGCACACGACCAAGACAACACAGGTGTGGCTTAGTGACAACTCTGTGTATGGCCTAGAGTGGCCCAGCCAGGGCCCCAACTTGATCCCTATTGACTATCTCTGGAGAGACCTGAAAATGGCTGTCCACCAACAGTCCCCATCCAACCTGACTGAGCTTGAGAGGATTTGCAAAGAAGAATGGCAGAAAATCCCCCAATCCAGGTGTGGAAAGCTTGCCGCATCATACGCAAAAAGACTCAAGTCTGTAATTGCTGCCAAAGGTGCTTCAACACAGTACTTAGTAAAGTGTCTGAATACTTTCTGAATGCACTGTATAAATAGAGAGAGGGAGAGAGCAAATACATGAATATATAAAGAGAGAGATTGCAGAAAGAGAGAGAGAGGTGTGTGGAGAGAGAGAGAGGTGTGGAGAGAGAGGGATTACAGAAAGAGAGAGAGAGAGAGGTGTGTGGAGAGAGAGAGAGGTGTGGAGAGAGAGGGATTACAGAAAGAGAGAGAGAGGTGTGTGGAGAGAGAGAGATTGCAGAAAGAGAAAGGTGTGTGGAGAGAGAGAGAGAGATTGTAGAAAGAGAGAGAGAGAGGTGTGTGGAGAGAGAGAGAGGTGTGTGGAGAGAGAGAGGTGTGTGGAGAGAGAGATTACAGAAAGAGAGAGGTGTGTGGAGAGAGAGATTACAGAAAGAGAGAGGTGTGTGGAGAGATAGAGAGAGGTGTGTGTGGAGGGAGAGAGAGAGAGATATGAACAATCAGTGTAGTGCTATCCCCTTATAACCTACACAATTGACTACATCAATGTGAACCTATGCATATTAAATCAATCAATAATCAATCATCATCAATAAATGTCCTCGTCATAGCGGGAAGCCAATGGAAGGTATCCCACATTATCAGTGTAGGAATGTATCAGGTTCTGCTCCGTCATACGTCCGTCCATAGAGCTCCAGGTAGACAATGTTTGCACACAGGAAGTGCAGCAATCAGTGCGGTGGCACAAAGTTGGCACTTCCCGCACGTTGTAGGTGTCGGAACGTCTGCGCCTTTTTCTGTTTGTCTTGTTTGGCCCAGTAAAGACGACCACTTGTTCTGGAATCCACTCGCCAGACATGACCGAGGCTCGCAGAAGCGTGACTCTTTATGCCTTGCTAATTGTAATTGCCGGCATTACGTCCATCAAACCCCGGGATTTGGTGTCCCCCGCGCGGAACGGGCCGCCATTGGCTGGCTATTTGTGCAGGGCAGACCGTGGCCTGTAACACAACCTATAGATTTCAGAACTCAGACACGCTCGTCGCGCATCTGGGTCTATACGCTGATTGCGCGCCGTGAAAAGATCCCTGTTCCCGGCGAGACGGATGTTTGGTCAATGTCTGGGATTTCGGGGAAAATGGCAGCTTCTCCGAATGATGATGTTTATATACAGTCAGCTGTATATATTAGAGAGAGTGGAGGAAATACGGTTACTGTATGGGAGGTTTTTTTTTCTTCATCTGGATACATTTTTTTCTACGTTCAGCTCGGCATGGTCCTCGCTTGTGCGGCGGTGCAGTCATGATGTGTCTGGTCGGTAGTCTTATAAAAAAATTAAAGCCCAGCGACAGTCTACTTTTTTAAAGCTGACCTCCAGCCAGGGGCGTAACTAGAAATCACAGGGCCCATAGCAAAATTTTGTATGGAGCCCTGTGATACCAGCCTTTCCTTCAGTCTTGCACAGTTGTACCGGCTCCTCTCCTTCACTGAAAGTGCTTCCTGTGATTTCACTGCACACTGTGAGGTTCTCACAATGTGCTTTAGATATTCATGATTGTGTCATCTCTGCAGTGGCAAAGACTCAGATTCCCCCCCAGGAAAAGTTCTCTATCCAAACCCCCTGCCCCCACACCACACTTCTGGGCTTTCTTCTTTTGTCTGGGCAGCACCCCTCCTGATCCATCACAGAGGTGAGGCTTAAAATTGCCTCGTTTTCCAGTGCTCCTTTGTTAATTAAAGAGCCGCTTCTGGGCTAGCTACTATTCTCCCAGTGGTGCCCCTTCTAATCTGTCATGGAGGAGAGACTTGAATGAAGTGATTGCAACCGTCACCTCTGTGGTGGATCAGGAGGGGGCACCGCCGAACCAAAAGAAGAGAGCACAGAAGCGGGTCTAAAGACACTGATCCACCACAGGGGTTTGCCATCCAGCAATACATTATACAGCAATGCAGAATACTACCAGCTATAGAGGACTACAAATCCCAGCAATACATTATACAGCAATGCAGAATACTATCTACCATCAGCTATAGAGGGCTGCAAATCCCAGCAAAACATTATACAGCAATGCAGAGTAATATGAAGCTACATACTCTGTGTTGCTCCAGGGTGGCAGACTGGTGTCTTCGGGGGCTCCGTAGCCTGTGAAGGGTCTCAAGTGGGCTGTGTGGGGTCTCACTAGGGATCCAGAGGGTCTTGCGCGCGGTGGGGTTCCCCAGGAAGGAGGAGATGTGCAGCCAGTGCTGTAAACAGGCGCTGTGGTTCACTAGAAGCCTGCCGAGGTCCCCAACAAGCTCGGAAACCTCAGGCAGCCTCTTCAATTTCAAAATTTAAAGCGCCGGCAATTATTAATAGGGGAGTACAAGTACTTGTGAAAA